AGAAGAAAAAGAAAAAAGTATTGTGAGATTCCCACTACAATCACGAGAGTTTGGAACACTGGTGCTGTTACTTCCACATTTCATCTCTGAATGTGGCCTACAGAGTCTAACTTCATCTATGGGAGGCTGCACCGGTATAATGCAGGTAGAGAGACCAGAAGAGGGCAGCACAGTAAGAGAAGCAAATAACAGGAAGACAGGCTAAAGTGCCACTTAAAATAAGCCTCTCCGCACTTTGAGCCAGATTCTCAGCTAATGTATATCAGAATGTCTCCATTGTCTGGCTTTTCCACGTACACTTTCTGCTGACCAGTGCTGACAGTGGTGTGGATTAGCCATTTGGCCCTGTTTAAAAACAAAAACCATGGATATGTATGAGTTTCAAAGCATCACATAAACTAACTTTCTAAGAGACAGATTTTGGAAAGGGAAGCTGAATTTACAATAGGGGTTCTTACAGAGGACAAGGTTCTGTCTTGAAGAATCATACTAGAGATTCATTTATATACCATTAAGGACCCGTAAAAGCCAGAAATTCAGTGCAAAACTCAATTTGAAACTCTATACTGTGCTTGGACATTAATATATTTAAATCTTGATTATGTCGGCCTAATCTTCTTGAGCCGAGTAGGAGTTCTGCAGCGCTTATGCTGGCAATATTAGATAGTTTGTAAAATCTTCCACTTTTTCCAGCTCCTTGTATATGGAGGCACAAAACCTGAAATCTGTTTGCTCTTGTGTCTTTGTCAGTCATAGCATTATAGCAAAAACCAGAGGGTATCACTACAGTGGTGTGGATTAGCCATCCACTTGTATCATTGAATTTAAGTTTTCAAAGCTGTGTGGGGGCACACCTCTCAACCCTAAATGATCAAATGCAGGAAAGAGACCAGATCAGATCTTGTACCTTGCTTTACAAAAAATGGGCACATATTTTTGTCCCCACATCATAGACAGGAGAACTGCTGCATGGAGAGTTGAAGCTACTTGCCCAAAGGCACATAGGGAGTTGAGGGACAGAGCCCAGAACAGAAGTCAGATTGAAGGACACACACACACACAAAATGGTGCAAGAAGTGCGTCTGGGTCTTCAGCCTATTTATTAGAGGCACAGATTCTATTCCCAGATACTCAAGCATAACTCCAGCTGACATCCAGAGGCACTACATAGGAGTATCCAGAGGACAGAATTTGGCCTATTGTGACATCAGGTTAATGATTCAGAATGATCTAAGAAGTTTATGATCATTAAACCAAGTCTGTTTGTAATAGAGGTAAATATGGAACACACCTTTGGGATGCTACATGGGCATTTGGAGTTGTGGCTCCCATTTTATTTTCAAATCCATGCCCAAACCTCACAGGAGGTCAGTTTATGCCCTGAGTGTCCATTTTCCCACCTGCTACGCTATATTGGTGAATGCATACACACTTTTTTCAAGGCCCCTTGTAATCCGTTATCTCATCACCATTTTGATTGATGTGATCTCTATTTTGTGTACAAACACTTTGTACTTAAGAGAAGAAGGATGGTCACATGCAATGCTTAATTTGTGCCGGGGTTTGCCAGGGCCGAGCCCTGGCACCTCTAGAGCTGGCAGTTCATAGCCCCAGCACCCCTGGGCTTGCTGCATCAGTTGTGAAAGTAAAAAAAATTGCTTGAGCCCCAGCACCTCTTTCATTACAACTTAAGCACCGGTCATGTGGTTAAGGCTCTGGAGTAGGACTCCGAAGGCCTGGGTTTAATTCTCAGTTCTACCACAGTCTTCCTGTGTGACTTTAAGAAAGTCACTTAATCACTCTGGGGCAGATCCTCAACTGGTGTAAATTGCCAGAGGAGACAATGAGGCTCTGTGCCTCAGGCCCTAATCTGCAAACTGAGAACAATATCACCTTTCCTCCTACCCTTCGTCCACTAATATTACAAGCTTTTGAGGAAGGGGGCTGTCTCTTAACATGTGTTACCGTGGGAGGCACTTCACAGGGACCCCTATCTTGGCTGCAGGCATTACTACAGTACAGTTAAAGAGTGATGTTCTGACCCACCCTCCGCACACAGAAGATACAGACAGAAGATTGTTGGGTTTTTTTATTATTATTATTTAGAAATAATAAAATAAGACATAATATATAAAAATCTGTACAATCCATGATTTGTGCAGTACATGAGGAAGACTTTGATACAAAAAGGCTGCAAACAGGAAAATAGTAATGGACAATTGTCAAATGTCTCGATTGTTCATCTTACAACAGCTGCAGACCAAGAGTCATTGTAAAATAAATTTCTGGTTGGCGGTGGGATGGCAACCCTGCAGCACCCTTCTGCCTTAAAATGGTCAAGAGCAGCCATAGTTTAAAGACATTACAGTACTTCTTGGTTTTACCTTGTAATCCAATATGGAAAAAAAAAAAAAAAAAAAAAGGACCTAAGAGACCAGATAAAAACATACAAACCCTTTGTCTTTGCCAAAAGAGAACAAGTGCTAAGTTAACACCACAGAAATTTACCATGATTGGGAGAATGTATCATTAACCACAACTAAAATGTAGTGATTTCCACCCTTGCTACTTATCCAAAAAACAAGTTGCACCTAAGAGACAGAGAGAAACAACATAGCCCACCTGTCTCACAAATGCCTTTTGTCATTGTAGGCAGTATTATGTTCAGACATTAAGTCTTATTCAAGTATTTTCAGGGAAGGGCAGAAATAACTAAATCCTCCCCGACTCCCCAAGCAAAATACATAAAACCACCTGTGCCAGACACTAAAGACATTGAGCCAACTTCATCCTTGGGGTCATGCCATAGACTAAGGGCTAGATCCAAAACTTTTAAAGCCAATGGAAAGACTCCCATCTGCTTCAATAGGCATTTGGATCAGGCCATAAATGAGGGATTAATTTGGCCCAGTATCACTAAGTATGAATGCTGTCAGTCACTATGCATGCCTTTAAAAAAAAAAAAGAATTAACCAACCCTACAATAGTCAGACCTGTATTGGGCTTACCAAGGCGTGTTCAGAAATGTATTTAAACCATTTGAGATATGAACAAGGGGTGGGGAGGGTACCATGAAATATACATTGCAGGTCAGGTCTCTTTCCTAGCAGCTTTCACAAGCCAGAGGCTGAGTGCACATCTGTAAAGCTAGATTCAGTCGGTAGAGACAAAGGGTTATTTAAAAATAAAATAAATCCAGCAGAGAGTGCAATGAATTACCTAAGTATCCACTCTCAACAAGACTAGCAATCTGAAAGCTTGTAACTTTTAAAAATGCCAGTAACTAGAAAATATTTTCAAATTAAAAGTCCATGCTTAAATAAATAACAGAAGTTCATAGCATTAGGAACCCTATAAGGCTTGCAAGTATTTGCTAAAACCATGCTAACCGGTAGCATCTAGGTACGAGCTAGCAGAAACTGCTGAACTGAATTTATACTTTCTATGGATTTATTTAATTTTTCATTTTTCTTCTCCTTTACAGACTTCTATTTACATTTGGCTTTAAATATGAAAATACTTGATAAACTTTATAAAATGTACATTTAAAAACCATTTCTGAAAAACCGTGACTCGAAAAACCTGTACACCAGAAATTTCAGATTTTTTTCCTTTTTTGTTTTTGTTTTGTTTATTTTTTCTTAAAGAAACAAACTGAAGCTTTTTATTTTCCCTTATCTCCTGTCCCTTGCTCTGATTTTTCAAGTCTCCTAAGTGGGGCACTGTGTATTTTGGAGTGATCTAATTGGGGAAAAGGTTCCCTTTTCTCCATCTCATTCCCCCATTTCCTCCCTCCCTCATTGCATCTTCATTTGTTTTACATTTCACTGAAGACTCTTTGGTTTAGTTGTTTTCCTTTACAAGAATATCATGATAGCAGCACAAGTAGCATTCACTGGCTATGACCCAGAACTGTGTTCAAGTTGCCGTGTGGGTTTAATTCCCTTTTCCCCTCCTCCCCCCCCATAAATAGTTTTAGAACTTGTATTTAAATAACATCTGCCCTCTTTAGTATATCCAGAGCTACCTTTACAATGTAAAATTTCCACAGTTTTAGAACCCACCTACTCAGGTTACTGTAAATACCATCTTATCAGAAACCACCATCTCATTGCAGGCATTTCCTTCAGGCAGGGCTGTAAGGGGCCAGAGGCCTTCACAGATATCCATTTGCAGAAGACATTAGACCTAGAACAAGCTGTTTTTTAATGGCATACAGTGATCCAATACTGTAAAAGAGTTGACTAGGATCTATTGTCCCCACCACCACCATTACCTATTCCTTGAGGAAGATTCAGAGGCGAGGAACCTCCAAGTACAGCTAAGTTATATGCTTGATCGTAGAGGCACAGAAAACATTAAAGCATTCTTGGCAAGGGGGCCAAAATACCATTCGAGCCATGACTTTACAAAAGGTCACAAGACTTGATGTCATAGTTCATCCACGGATAGCTCAGTCGAAGTTTACAGGTAAAAAGGAGGTGGGAGAGGGAACTCTTTTACAGTATTATCTGCAAATAATCCTTTTTCAAATGATCCAGAGCACACTATTATATCTGGGCTGACACCCGTGCCCTGCCAAAGGGAAGCATTTTCCCAAAACATTCACATCCCTCTGCTCTTTCAGATTGCTCTGTTACAACTTCCCTCCCTTCCGCCCCCCCCCCCCCCCAGGGATTTACATGTTGCTCAGCTCACCTACACCCAAATGCCTGCTCCAGCCGAGTTAGCCTAGAGCAGATCAGCAGCTTTTCATGTCTCTAGCCTAGTTTAACTGGAAATGTAATGACCGCCTGCAGCATGTCTGATGGCTCAGTTCTCAGAACGCTGGGTCAGCTCTAAAAGGGCCCTCTAAGTTCTAGAAGCAGTTTTGGAATGTGTGTAGAATAACACTTGACCTTCTGCAGTAGCCCTGCTGGTGTTTTGCTAACAGGAAAGAACAGATGTTTGCTTCCCCCCCCCCCCCCGCGCCCGCCCCCCCCCGCCCCCCGTTGCTTTCCTTCTTATAAAAAGAAAGAGAGGGAGCTCGTTTTCCCATAGAGGGGGGAAAATGTCTTGCTTACTTAGATCTGAGTCTTACACTCTATTTTCTGAATAAGGTGCGAAATGAGGCCCTTTAAAAAGAAGTCTGAGGTTCAAATTTTGTTTGTTTAAAGCAGCCTGTTTCATTTAAATAAACTCCACTGTGCAAAACTGTGCATTTTCTTTGGTATCCATTTAGGTAGTTTTAACTTAATTTTTAGATAGAGTTTAATTCTCTATCAGCCCCCTCCCATCCCCGCTCCTGGAATTTTTTTTTTCCTGGAGGCTACCAATTGGCCTGATGTTACATAATGCCCCTTATGTAACTGAAAAGAGAAAGAAATTGATTCTAGCTATCAAACTACTGGCCTCAAAAGAAGTTCAGACTATACGGCCGTATTGGCCTCTTTGAAGTGTGATCACGAGCTTTTCAACCCACAAAGTTCAATGCTGACATTTTTTAAAAAAAAAATTACACAAAAGAAAAAGAAAAAACTACATGGCCACAAAAAAATTACAATTTGTGTCAATGTAGTTAGCAGCAGCTTTCTTAAAATAATAATAATAACAACAATAATAATAATAATAAGGCAGATTCATGCCTTTGTTATGCCATTAAAAACATTCTTGTTCCCTAGAGAGAAGCATTCTGGAAAAAGTTGAAAAAAAAAAAATAACCCAACCAAAGCTCGCCTGCAAGTTCAAGTTTTGTAAAAAAATATATACATAATTTATTCTACAATATATATGTGCCTTCTGATCATGCTTAGACATTGTTTAGTGCTTCGTGTTTAGAGTTCATTTTCAGCTCTCTCTCCTGTAAAGACAGCCCTAAAACTGGCTTAGATTCCTCAGGACCACTTGTCTTCACGCCTTTCTTCAACAGTACCATCATCTGAAAACTGCTTTGGGCCAACTCTCAGCTCATTGTGCCTTTGACCGACATATTTTTCTTTTAAACCAAAAGATAACAGAGAAAAAGTCAGTCAGTCATATTTCTGATTCCCGCCTTAATGGCCTAGGTTCTAGTGGCACCCCAGCTTGGTTATGATGGTCCATGTCTGGGAGGGTGTCCGTGCTCATGCTTTCAGGCACCCCATTGTCACTCTCGTCCTCTTCTTTGCTGGTGAGGGCCACTTCATTCTCGTAGCAAAAGGAATTTGCATTCGAGAGAATGTATTTCTTTTCTGCTAAGTCTCTGGCACTACAAAGTGGCGTGTTGGGCACTTCGTACGTTTTGTGGAACCTAGAGTAGTCCACTTTATAGTAGTTTTTCTCTTCGAAGAGCACAGGCTCATAACGGTGGCCCCAGAGGATTTCATTTGCCAGATATGAACTACGGCACTGGGTAGTCATGGCGGTAGCTTCCACCATGCCCTCTAATATTACTACAATTTCAAAGTCTGCATTGTCCATGTCTTGCTTACTGTAGTCATACAAGGGACTTTGTTCATCTATTTCATGGACTATTGTAATTGGGGACACCAGGAATATGCGGTCTATCCCACTGTCAAACCCAACGTTGATGTCTATTTGGTCCAAAGGGATGTATTCTCCTTCGGAGGTGACCCTGGATTTAAGGAGCTGGGCTCTCACATGTGCCTCAACCAAATGGCTTTTCCGTAGGTTTCCAACGCGCCACATTAAGCACAGCTTCCCATCCCTCAGGCCCACAACAGCATTGTGGCTGAAGACTAGAGTTTCGTTTCTCTTTTTTGGTTTAGCCATCTTTGCCATGACAGCCCCAATGATGAAGGCATCAATGATGCAGCCTACGATAGACTGGAAAACCACCATGAATACTGCGATGGGGCACTCGTCCGTGACACACCTAAAACCATACCCAATTGTTGTCTGGGTTTCGATGGAGAAGAGGAAGGCTGCAGTGAAGCTGTTCACATTGGAGACACAAGGTTTGTAGTTTGCTGGCTCCTCCAGATCCCCATGCAACAGAGCAATCAGCCAAAACACACAGCCAAAAAAAAGCCATGAAAGAATGAAAGCCAGGCAGAAGATAACTAGCATCCACCTCCAGCGAATATCCACGCAGGTGGTAAAGATGTCTGCCAGGTAACGTTGTCCTTTCTCACCCACATTAATGAATTGGACATTGCAGTGTCCATCTTTCTTGACGAAGCGGCTCCTGCACTGCTGCCTAGTGTGTACCTTGCTCTTCCCGTTCCCGAAGCCATTGGCAACTGCCATGGTTGCCAGCTTCATGCCATCCTCTTCTGAGGAAACGATGCTATAGCGGTTGGTTCGCACGCTGCCCATCACTACTGCTGTGGACTGAGGTGCTTCTGCTTTAGAAAACAGTCTGAGTTTCTGCAAAACCCTTTGGAGAAACAGTTTTGAAAGTTCTAGAGGAACACACACACAGGAAAAAATAAAAGGGCTAGGTTGGAGTTTCCGACAACCCCTGGCTCTACCAAGGAGAGTCTGCTGACATGCAGAGTTAGCTTAGCAATTGAACATCCGTCATAGAGAGCACATGGTCTGCAAGAGAAAGACACACTGCATATTAGAACTCAATGGGACAGAACACTGAATCAAAGCTATATAAAGACCCCAGCCTCCAAATCCATATGGTTCGTTTTTCAATCTATTCACTTCTATTCATGGAATTGTCCTGAGGCACAGAGATTCTCTGTTTATGGATCGACAAAACTGACATCATTAATACAAAGAAGTCATCACTCTTTCCATAGCAAGCACTAAAGTGAACAGGTCTTAAAGAAATATTCACTTAAAAGCAGGAAATACACGTATCTGTCTAGTACATACACCTGCACCTTTGGTGGTTTACTTGGGAATGGTGAATTAGCTTTAACACATGCATGTCTGTTCAAGTCTCAAGTTGATTTACAATGACATAGAAGTCTGTGTCTCAGGGTCTATTCCAGCCAAGATACAGGTGTGTGTTAATTAAAAGGAACAAGTGCATTATGAGGATTAAATGCTCCTTGGGCCAAATTTCGCTCTAGTGATACTCCACTAACTACCATTAAATTACAGTTGTGCAGAATTTAGCCCTTTACTAGTCCATTCAAGCAAAAGTCATGCATTCATTCTTTGCCAGCAATAGGAATAAAGCCATACAGACTATGTTGGCAACTATTTAAACCAAAGCTACAGCAATTTGATGGGATCCATACAATCATTAAATTCACAGTAGGAAATCATCACACAAACCACATGAGGCCTCATCCTGCTCCGGCTGAAGTTATTGATAAATGGCTTTAACAGAAGCAGGATTGGCCTAACATCTCTGTGGTGCCTTTGATGGTGGGTACAAGGCACTTTCCTCTCTGGAGATAAAGGGGATTCCACCCCAAAAAGGAGAACGGTCCTGAGTTTCCCTTGTGTCTTGAATATCAGTAGTTAGGGCTTAGCCTAGTGGATACAAGATGTGTTTGCTGAGACTGGAGGGCACCAAACTCATTTCATGGAAGTCTAGCTTAGAGCCAGTGTTTGCTTTTAACAAGCACATCATCCATTAAGTCATCACCCATTGTATTGGAGGAGATTTAATTGAAATACTGCAGAGGATGCAAAATGCATGAATTGTAATAATCCCCCCTACACACACACGGCCAACGGGGGAAAGAAAGTCATAACTGATTTTAAAATAATGAGGATTTTAAGATAACGTCTGTTGTGGGTTTGCCACAGCAGGAGATCTAAGTACGAATCACATTAGTTGAAGAGTGCACTAAAATGTCTTTTGTTAACGGATATTAACAAAATTAATCCGACTCAATTCTAAAACCTGACACAATTGTGTCAGCCAAAGAAAAAGACTTCTGCATGTGAAATAGTTTGCACACACTCTAGCTGTTCTTCCTGACCTGGGTAGAGCAAGGTTAAAAAGTCATACTGTAGATAGGAACGTCCCCTGGTCCAATAACAGGGTTAAAACCTAGACAGATTTGGAATCTCTAGAGTTCAGCATATGATCTCTTAATTCCTCCGTCCCCTACATCTTTCAGCTGCATCACAAGGACACAGGTAAGCAGATGTGTGTAAGAAAACAGCAGGTAACAAGCAAAAAGAATAAGTGATCTTTACAGATGTGCATAAGACATTTCTTCCCGAAGAGCTACTTCATGGTTTGCTTTAAATGCACACACACTTCAAATTACTCTACAAGAAATGTGGCCCAACACATATTTTCTGAGATTAGTCATCTGTGACTCCTGCAGTGCATGATACATTTTGGCAGCTTTCAACTTTTAAAATACCCAGTTTGAATGTAGCTTTCATATTAATGTATAAAGATGATCTGATGCTGTTAAACTTACACCTGTCTGAATATTTTGTTTGCATTGTGTAAAGTTCCCTTTGTATTTTTTTGGGGGGGGGGGGGGGGGGAAGGAAGGGTGAGAAGAACAGAGATTTTCATTCCTGCCAATATATAGCTCTCTAAAGCGATGGAATGCTTCTAACATTCAGTTTGAGATATTTTCTGTTGTATTTGGTTTTAGATGCATTTTCAAGCCAAGTGGGAAAGCCAAATTACTATTTATATGTTCCATGAAAAAGAACAGCTCATTGCAAAATCATTGCATTGGTTTGCAGATTAATCACTTTTATAAACCACATCCTAAAATCATGATCATGTTGAACTTCCATGTTCTAAGCAGGTTTTGCTCCAAGTTGATGGAAATATATAGCCTTAGAACTAATTTAGTCATTTTTCTGCATTGTCTCTTGGATTTCAAGGGAGGAAGGGTCTGGGGAGGGGACAGCTGTGAAATCTGAGGGACCTAAAAGTGCAACTACATACCAAAAAAAAAATATATTTTTTTTGACCCCAAGACATTTGTTTGAATTCCACAAATCACTGAAACCACAATTCCAGGTTCCTACAAATATCTTGCCATATTTAGAATCCTGGAAATAGCGATATGACAATGGTAGGTGCCTATTTCCATAGCTAATTGTCACCTACTGTACATCTGCATGGTATTATTAGTTAGAATCATAGAATATCAGGGTTGGAAGGGACCTCAGGAGGTCATCTAGTCCAACCCCCAGCAGGACCAATCCCCAATTTTACCCCAGATCCCTAAATGGCCCCTGCAAGGATTGAACTCACAACCCTGGGTTTAGCAGGCTAATGCTCAAACCACTGAGCTATCCCTCCCCCTATTAATAGTTATGTCACTGCACGTGTTATGCCTTTGGAAGCAAAAACTGCTCCGACTTTGGCTTAAACATTCCTGACACACTGTAATGCAGCCTTGAGGGTATCTCTTTTCTGTGTTTATAGACTTTCTGGATGTTTAGACAACAAAACTCTGGCACATGCCACATATTACAGTGCTGGTCATAGGATAGCTGTCTACTGTCTTTTAACACAAATTGCCTCTCATCCTTGTGTGTGCTTTGAGTAGCTAGGATACGAGCCCGGGGGGGGGGGGGGATTTGTAATACTTCAACAGTCAGACTCACAGCTAGTGAAACACAATGGGCCTGATCCTGCCCCCAGTCAAGAAGGTGGCAAAATTTCCATTGACTTCAAGGATCAGGACCTGTAAATATGTGGATGGGGGAAAAAAAAAAAAATCAATAGATCCACCAGTGTTGGGATCTGAACTTTGTGTATCCTAAACTCTTCCAGTTGGCTGCAGTGGGAGTTTGGGGACTGCAAGGAATACAGGGTCAGGTCCTATACAAAAAGTGTGCACAAAGCTAAAAATGCACAGACCTGGGCTAAAAATCTAATATTATGCCTTACTTTGATAATCCACCTGCTGCTCAGTTGTAATACAAGTTTAATTTTTCCAAACATTCTCATGTTATCACTGAGGGGACCAAACCTACAACCCTCACTTGGTGGGGTGGGGGGGGGGGGTTGTCTGTAGTATTGGGCCCATTGCATAATGACATCTAGTAAGACATAAACTAAATTATCTTATTTTATTCACCCCAGTATCTCTCTACAGAAAAACAACACCATTTTCACTGTACAGAAGTATTGAAACCAGTTGCTGGTATGTGCACAGATTCACTACAGTGAGGTAGATCAGAATTTCAAGTATTGCAACGGGAGGCTTGAAAAGGGGGGAATAGAAGGGGACCTCACTATTAATGAAGCATTCCAGGACAAACACTGATTCAAGAACAATAGAATCTCTAAGAGCCCACAAAGAAAAATAATTACATCGATGTCTGTAATTTGCACTGATCGAGTGGAAGCGGAACGTGCAGGAGGGCTTCAGGCTGATCAGAGATAGAGATGATACAAGAGTTGAGAGAGAGAGATTGCTAATGAGCGATCCGGGCAGTTATTCCCAAACTGACGCCACATTACCCTGCTTTGTGTGTGCAGGGCACATGTTGCTAAGTGAGCACAACTGCTACCTTCCTCCCTCTTCAGTAAACAGAACACAAGAGCGGTCTGCCAAGATATATAGCAAAACCAAAAGTCCATGCTCTTTTATTTTATTGGTCAGAGATCTTCAGGTGTAAAGGCTCAGTGACCTTTCCCCAGTCCTATATATTATTTAAAAGTTATTAGCCCAGACTCTCCTCATTTCCCTACTTGCTTTGGTTAGGGGATTTGAGGCATATTACATATTAAAGGCTAAGCTAGCTTGGATCATGACAGATTTTCTTTAATAAAACAATGAAGACATTAGAGAAAAGAAAAGTAGGTGATATAGGAAAAATGTACTGAGAAAAAGGGGAAAGAGAAGTGGCACTGTCATCCGAGATCCTGCTCTTTTGCAGATCTCAGGATATTTCTAGATGATGACAAAGTAACTACAAATGAAATATTCATCACCGGGGGTGTTGTTGATGTGCTGGCCAGCAGGGTGGAAAAGCAAACAAGTGTAAAGGTAAGGCAGAGAACACAAAAAAGAATACAGCCTGATGAGCAGAGATGTGGCAGTGAACACATCTTTGTTAATACCCAGCATAGACTTTCAGTGTGTTCTGCAACTACTGTCTACAATCTCCAAAGTGCATGTGAAGCACTTGCCTGGTTAAAATGGAAAAGCTCGTACAATACAGCCATAAAGAAGTCTGCCATTTCCTATATGTATTTTTTTTAAACTGTCATGAATCAAGTTAAAATGACGCAATCTCTCCACAGTCACTCAAACCACAATGGCTTTTTTTTTTTTTAACTTCTTCTTTTTGCCAGACCCATTAGGAAAGAATTCCACAAGTTCCTTTGATGCATCTTCCATAGACTACAGTCGATGTGCAGTGTTATGAATAAATGTCACAGTGTTGTGCAAGAGGTGATAGAACATTAATTTTTTTAAAAAATGAATCTAAACTGTAATTCTGTATGCTTTGATCCCTTCCCTCTCTTTTAGAATCCCTGAAATACTAGGCAAAAAGAAAAGGATGCACAGGGCAGAGGAACGGAGAGTTTTCATGCTAACTTCCAATCCTCCCCCAAAATACAATATCCTTCAGTGGCAGCTGGTGCCTGGAAAGAAATGAGCACAAACAGATGCTCAAGTGTTCCAAGCATACCTAGCTAATTATTTGCGCTAGTGAGATTAATTAGACTGTTTGCATGGTGTATGAGAAAGGGTAAAGCTCTCCCTTCATGTGACTATGCAGAAAAGTGCAATCAATAGACCTGACAGTAAAGCACATACATATAGACTGATCCCCCCCCGCCTCCGTCCCCCGGCACCCCTTAAGGCACAGACATTCGAGGGTGGCATTTCAGAGGTGACCGTGCTGCCGACTTCACTACAGAAATAGGTAGGTTAAAATACAGTGCTCCTTACCTGTTAGTGGATTTAAGCTGGGGATGTAGATACATAAAAGAGTGTAAGATCCAGTGGCTAGGGGGGAATCAGCAAACCAATCCCACGCTCCCTACCCCGCTGCACCGTTTGCAACTCAAACACTTCACGAGCTACTGCCTCCCTTTTGAGGGCGGCCATGTGATTTTTAATACCGGCTCGGCAGGCTCCGCCCTCCGGGGCTGCCCCAGACCAATGGGAGAAGGGAGGCCGGCCCAGCCTTGGCTGGGTCTCCGCTGGAGCGCCCGGCTCTGCCCAGAGCGAGGGATTCCCGGAGCGGGGGCGCCCGGGCTGGCGGTGCTGCGCCGAGGCGTTTGCAGCGAGCGCAGAGCCTTGCGCTGCCCCGGCCGGCGCGCAGCGGGGACCGGCTCGCCCCCGGCCCCGCGGCGGGTGGCACCTGGCGGGCAGCAAAAAGCGGCTGGAACTCGCTGCCCCAGGCTGGGGCGCGGGTCTCCTGCCCCCGCGCCTCCGGCAGCCCCAGGGTGGCCCTCGCCCCGCCGCGGGGCCGCCCCGTGGCGCGCTCCGATCCGTCCCCGAGTGAGCCCCCGGGGGCGCTGCCGTGCCAGGAGGGAGAGCAGCCCGGAGCCCCTGGCCCCTTGTGGGGGCGAGGGGGGTGCAGAGGGAGGACGCACCTTGCAAGGGAAGAGGAGGGAGAGCGGGGCGGGGGGCGGGGGGGGGATGTGCCGGTTCTTGGGGGAGGAGGAGGCTTTTCAGGAGCTGGAGAGACTAAAGGAGGAGTGGGGGGCAGAGAAAGTGAGGAAGGGGATTGAAGGGGGGTTGGAGGGGATAGGGCGAGTGGGGGCAGCCTGGAGAGGAGAGGGATCTGGGGGGGAGTGGGTTATGAAGGGAGGGAGAGAGGCAGATCACAGGGCCCTGTTGGTGCAATGATCATTCCCTCCAAATGCAATAGCCAGGCGCTGTATGTACAGCTGGTCTGCGAGTTGGCCTTGAGGCGGATCTCGATTTATATCCGGTGCAAATGAGAACATGCTGTCCAGGGTATGTCTACACTGCACAGTGAGCTCAGGTTCCAACTCAGGTTTGAGCCCCAGCCCGCCTTCCGCCCACATACAAATTGGGCTGATGCGGGTCAGCAAGCACTCAGGACTTAGGATCCTGCTATGGGGGTGGGTCAGAGCCCAAGTCCTGTTGTGACTTGGGTCTGAGCCCTGCCATTTTGCAGTGTGAATGCAGATCGAGCCATAGACCCGAGACAAAAGGTCTGCATGGTGCAGTATGGACACATTAGCACAACTGTGAGGCCTGGGTCTAGCAATTGTAAACCCAGGTTTACAACACCGCGTGGACTCTCAAGTGCAGGCGTGGAAAGACTGAGTCCAAAAGTCTGGGTCCCACAGACCTGGGTTTATCATAGTGTAGAAATATGCTATGCTTCCAGCCTGGCTGGCAGTAAAAACCCTTCCCAAATTAATTCCTAGGCTGAAGGGCACTGGCTCTCATGCTCTTCGACTGGACCCGAGAGTATCATTATTATTTGTATTGCTCCAGTCATAGCCTGGGACGTCATTGTACTAAGTTATAGCAACACAAAACAGAAAAGACTCTCCATGCTAGAAATAGCAGGTGCATCAAACAGTGTGAGTAAAGATGTTAGTAAATTGTACACTTCAGATAGGGAGGGATTTCAGCCTCGGGCCTTGTCCCTCTGACTTCTTCCTGTGGGGCTTGACAGGAATAGAGAACACCTGTTAAACATATTGCCTGTGTCCATAAAGAAAGAAATCACATAACAGGGTGAGAAGTTAGAGAGACAAGGTGGGTGAGGCAATATATTTTATTGGACCAACATCTGTTGGTGAGAGAGACGTGTTTTCGAACCACACAGAGCTCTTCTTCAGGTCTAGGATATTACCTCACCTACCTTGTCTCGCTAATATCCTGGGGCTCATACAGCTACATTACATACAACAGTGTTAGATATAACATATCAAAGCAACTTTCCTACGTGTATGGGAACCCTCAGGATTCATCTTCCGTTAAGAGCCATCCTGAGAAGAGGAAATTAATTTCCGTTTAATTTTTCTGGGAAATCTGCCAAACTTTATTGGGAAATCTGCCGGACGTTTTGGTCTGGTCAATCTAATCTCGCTTTCTTCAATACCCCCATCACTCTTAAAAACATAACAGCACTTAGATACAAGTCCCACGTAGTACTGAAAAAAGTCTTTTATTTCTATCTGCTGTAACAATGTCCAATATTTATTTATTTATGTTGATAGGTACCCTTTCTTAGTATTTCTAACCAGACACTCTAATCACCAGTGGTATAACTTTAAAAAGACATCACAAATATTACCCCAAATGCCACAATGCAATTCAGTATAACACTCCCAAAATGAGGTTTGCAAATAAAGGCTATTTTGGACCAACGGAGGAAGCAATGGTTGTTTCCCCATCACCGTAATAACTAGGCCTTACATACCACCTATGGGAGATGGACCTGGGTGCTGTCCCACTATTTAAAAATATGCAAGTACCAAAAATTATTCCAAAATATTCTGCCATTCCTAAAGCTCCTTCGGTCCAAAATACCCAAAAAAGAAAATGATGAAGAAGTGTTTGGACAAAAAACCCAATCGGAATAAAATAAAAGGCTTTGTAATCATGATCTGAAGTATGCTGAACTCTGGCTGTGATGGACAGTCAGGAGGTGTTAGTTTCAGAGGCAGGTGCCCTCAGGAAGCTGAGTTCTTGGCACTAACAGCTGAAATGCATCTGAGAGCCTCCTATGTTGTGATGGAAAAATATGGAAGAAAGCAGCCTGTTAAATGAAGGGGGTCACAGACCACATAGTGCTTTAGAGGCTTTAGAGATTATCACTAGCACCTTGAATTGCACCCAGGACTGAAATGGTAGCCATTGCAACATATGGTGAACAGGTGCTCTGAGCACTGAGGGCCGGATGTGCACAAGTCCATGGGGCCGGACGAGTTGCATCCGAGAGTGCTAAAGGAATTGGCGGCTGTGATTGCAGAGCCATTGGCCATTATCTTTGAAAACTCGTGGCGAACAGGGGAAGTCCCGGACGACTGGAAAAAGGCTAATGTAGTGCCAATCTTTAAAAAAGGGAAGAAGGAGGATCCTGGGAACTACAGGCCAGTCAGCCTCACCTCAGTCCCCAGAAAAATCATGGAGCAGGTCCTCAAAGAATCAATCCTGAAGCACTTACATGAGAGGAAAGTGATCAGGAACAGTCAGCATGGATTCACCAAGGGAAGGTCATGCCTGACTAATCTAATCGCCTTCTATGATGAGATTACTGGTTCTGTGGATGAAGGGAAAGCAGTGGATGTATTGTTTCTTGACTTTAGCAAAGCTTTTGACACGGTCTCCCACAGTATTCTTGTCAGCAAGTTAAAGAAGTATGGGCTGGATGAATGCACTATAAGGTGGGTAGAAAGTTGGCTAGATTGTCGGGCTCAACGGGTAGTGATCAATGGCTCCATGTCTAGTTGGCAGCCGGTGTCAAGTGGAGTGCCCCAGGGGTCGGTTTTGTTCAATATCTTCATAAATGATCTGGAGGATGGTGTGGATTGCACTCTCAGCAAATTTGCGGATGATACTAAACTGGGAGGAGTGGTAGATACGCTGGAGGGCAGGGATAGGATACAGAGGGACCTAGACAAATTGGAGGATTGGGCCAAAAGAAATCTGATGAGGTTCAATAAGGATAAGTGCAGGGTCCGGCACTTAGGACGGAAGAACCCAATGCACAGCTACAGACTAGGGACCGAATGGCTAGGTAGCAGTTCTGCAGAAAAGGACCTTGGGGTGACAGTGGACGAGAAGCTGGATATGAGTCAGCAGTGTGCCCTTGTTGCCAAGAAGGCCAATGGCATTTTGGGATGTATAAGTAGGGGCATAGCGAGCAGATCAAGGGACGTGATCGTTCCCCTCTATTCGACATTGGTGAGGCCTCATCTGGAGTATTGTGTCCAGTTTTGGGCCCCACACTACAAGAAGGATGTGGATAAATTGGAGAGAGTCCAGCGAAGGGCAACAAAAATGATTAGGGGTCTGGAACACATGACTTATGAGGAGAGGCTGAGGGAACTGGGATTGTCTGCAGAAGAGAAGAATGAGGGGGGATTTGATAGCTGCTTTCAACTACCTGAGAGGTGGTTCCAGAGAGGATGGTTCTAGACTATTCTCAGTGGTAGAAGAGGACAGGACAAGGAGTAATGGTCTCAAGTTGCAGTGGGGAAGGTTTAGGTTGGATATTAGGAAAAACTTTTTCACTAAGAGGGTGGTGAAACACTGGAATGTGTTACCTAGGGAGGTGGTAGAATCTCCTTCCTTAGAAGTTTTTAAGGTCAGGCTTGACAAAGCCCTGGCTGGGATGATTTAATTGGGGATTGGTCCTGCTTTGAGCAGGGGGTTGGACTAGATGACCTCCTGAGGTCCCTTCCAACCCTGATATTCTATGATTCTATGAGGGGCAAACAGATCCTTGCTCAGCAACTGGGCCATCTGCTGGTCTGATATGGGAGGAGTGGAGCTCTCCACACAAGGTAGCGTGTAGAACTATGGAGGCTATGCCATCCAATTGCTAGACTAGGTTCCCAGCATATGTGCCCCCACCCCCAAACTCCATGGAAGGGGTGCATGATCCATTCCTGCTCCCACTCACTAGGGTTGTAGCCATGATGTCAGCCTGGTTTAAGGAGCTTTTTGGAAATGTTTTACAAAAACCATCTCTCTTAGAGTCCAGGCTTTGCATAGGTCTCAGTTCATCGTGGAATGTTGTGATCATAGAATGAAATCGGGTTTATAATGCTAACACTGATAAAGCAGTAATCCTAGAGACTCTAACTTGTCCTACATTTATCTGTGTGAGTGCACTTTAAAAACTGCCGCACACACTTACCACTTCCACTGTTATTTGTGGTATCTGAAGTATTCTCTATTCTCAGAATGGGGAAGTACCACAGATATTACAACAACCAGTAAAATAGTCAAATTTGGTGAATGGAAGTTTTAAAAATCCTCACCCTATGTCTTTCTGTTTTTAGTTTATACAAGCTACACATTACATAGGGGTGAGAGGGAGAGACAGAACATAAGAATGGCCACAGGGGTCAGATCAATGG